TGTCCTTCTCTACTCAGCACATGAGGCCTCAGCTGGAGTACTGTGTCCAGTTCTGGTTGCCACATTTTTGGAAAGACATGGACAAATTGGAGAGAGTCCAGAAAGACCGCAATAAAAATTATATAAATGTTAAAAAATCTGACGTGAGGAGAGGTTAAAAAATGGGCATATTTAGTCTTGAGAAAAGAAGACTTGATAAGTTTTAAAATAAAAGGGCGGTTATAAAGAGGACTGTGATCAGTTGTTCTCCACGTCCACTGAAGATAGGTAGAACAAGAAGTAATGGCCTTAATCTGGAGCAAGGAAGATTTTGGTTATATATTAGGAAAAACCTTCTAATTGTAAGGGTAGATAAACAGTAGAATAGGCTTCCAAAGAAGGGAATGGAATCCCCATCACTGGAGGTTTTTTAAGAACAGGTTGGACGAACACTTGTCAGGGATGGTGCAGGTTTGATCCTGCCTCAGCGCAGGGGGCTGGACTTGAGGACCCATTGAGGTCCATTCCATCCCTACGTTTCTATGATATCTTGCAATTCATTTGCCTCTCTTTTCGGACAGTATTTCTGAATTGTGTGAAAAACTGATACAAATGTTCCAGAATTATATCTTCAACATCTAGGACCAACATTTCACAGTCCATAATGGCAGAAGACAGTGTCAGGAACATAACTAAATTGTCTTGCAGCACATAGCTACTCTAAAGAGCAAAAGTTTTTGACAAAGCTATATACTTTTTTTGTGCATAATTCAGATGTTCATTACAGTTCTTATCTTGCAAAGATTGGTTAAATTCATAGAATCATAGAATATAAGGGTTGGAAGGGACCCCAGAAGGTCATCTAGTCCAACTCCCTGCTCGAAGCAGGACCAAATCCCAGTTAAATCATCCCAGCCAGGGCTTTGTCAAGCCTGACCTTAAAAACCTCTAAGGAAGGAGATTCTACCACCTCCCTAGGTAAAGCATTCCAGTGTTTCACCACCCTCTTAGTGAAAAAGTTTTTCCTAATATCCAATCTAAACCTCCCCCACTGCAACTTGAGACCATTACTCCTCGTTCTGTCATCTGCTACCATTGAGAACAGTCTAGAGCCATCCTCTATGGAACCCCCTTTCAGGTAGTTGAAAGCAGCTATCAAATCCCCCCTCATTCTTCTCTTCTGCAGGCTAAACAATCCCAGCTCCCTCAGCCTCTCCTCATAAGTCATGTGTTCCAGACCCCTAATCATTTTTGTTGCCCTTCGCTGGACTCTCTCCAATTTATCCACATCCTTCTTGTAGTGTGGGGCCCAAAACTGGACACAGTACTCCAGATGAGGCCTCACCAATGTCGAATAGAGAGGAACGATCACGTCCCTCGATCTGCTCGCTATGCCCCTACTTATACATCCCAAAATGCCATTGGCCTTCTTGGCAACAAGGGCACACTGCTGTCTCATATCCAGCTTCTCGTCCACTGTCACCCCTAGGTCCTTTTCCGCAGAACTGCTGCCTAGCCATTCGGTCCCTAGTCTGTAGCTGTGCATTGGGTTCTTCCGTCCTAAGTGCAGGACCCTGCACTTATCCTTATTGAACCTCATCAGATTTCTTTTGGCCCAATCCTCCAATTTGTCTAGGTCCTTCATTGAGCTTGTCAAATACGTTGGTCAAATAATCCAGTAAAACCTGGAAGCAGTGATTCAGAGTTGATCAAAAACATAACAGGCACTCCTCAAGGAGTTGGCAGATGCTTTTGGTATGACTTTTGTGGCTAGTAAATAAATGAAGCACAGCAGGTGGCAGTGCTCAAATTAAGGGTAAATTTGGGGAGTCCAGGCACGCTTTCTGCTTTAGGGGCTACTCCACTTCTGACTTATTCAAATGCATGTGGGGGTGGGAGATGTTTTGGCCTCCTTACTACTTCCTGCTTGACCAGCAGTAAGGCCAAGAGCTACAAGGAGAACATGCCGTCCCTTGGCGGGGGGAGTTAGAATTCATTTGAGGGTGGTCTGTGGAGAGAGCAGAGTCTGCTGGAGTGATCAAAGGTCCCAGCGCTGGCCCTCTGTGTACTGAGGACCTGGTGAGCTGGGGGCTGAGGGAGGTTTGTGACTGGGTGAGGTGGGGACCAGGGGGTGGAGTGAAAGTCTGGGGGACCTAAAAGGGGGAGAGAAGTCAGAGAATGGGAGCTGTCACCAAAGGGAACCAAGGGAATTAGGGGGTAAAAGCCCAGTCCTGGGGGAGGTGGGTTGGGGAGGGGAATCAGTGGAAGAGATGGGGATGGCACAATTTAGTGTAGGTGGAAAGGAGCAGGGGAGCTAGGGATGTTGGTTGGGTTCAGAAATCAGGGAAAGGTAGGTTAAAGGCAGAGGCAGCAGGTGGGGATGGGGCAAAAGGCAGTTAAGGATGTAAGGAAGGGATAGTGGCAGGCAGAAGGGGACTTACTGAGTGGAGGAGAAGGTCGGGTAATGGGAGATGGAATTAGGGGTAGGGTAGCAGAGGCAATTAAGGATAGGGGAGGCAGGGGAAGAGGGTTAAGCAGCGGGGGCAGGCAGGGAGAGTTAGAGGTAGGTGATTAGATGGGCAGAAGGTGGAGGTTAACAGGTGAGGAAGAAGGAGGCAGGGCGGAAGGGAGAAGACAGTCTTGCTGCAGCTGGGCTTGGCTTGGCAGTGCAGAGCATGTCAGCACAGAAGCCACCCAAGACATATGTTGGCACCTCACCCCATCCTGCCTTCAGGACCGTCTGCATCCTTAAGTGCCCTTTTACTCTCCTCCCCCGCCCATAACTCAAGCACTGATATGCAGGGGAGAGGGGAGCCCAGGACCAACAGGAGTGGGGAGAGGTAATCCCTATGGAGCAGCTGAGGAAGCAAACCTGCTCCCTGCAGCAGTCGGTTTCAATTGCTGGGACCCAGCACCTTGCCCATCCAGATCCCCCTCCTGCAAAGGGAAAGCAAATGGGGCTGTGCTGAAGAGCCAAAGGTCAAGAAGGGAGAATAAGGCTGCACCCTGGGAGGACTGGCACCCCTGCTAGATATAGCCTCCTGCTAACCTCAGGCCTTCAGCCTGGCTGTGTCCAGCATGGGGGAGGGGAGCACTGTGCCCTGGGCCTGTGTATGTTTCAAGGACCTCTTGATGCCAGCTCACAGAGGGGTACAAAAAGGAGTGAGGTCTTCACTAAAAGTGTGTGTCACACTGGTGGTCATAATCATTGGGAGCTGTATATACAGGAAGTACTGTATATGAGGAGTTATGTATTCATGATGAAAATTATGTTCTCTAGGTCTTGTAGTTAAAGTACTAAAAGGTACTGTGTTGTGAGACAACCTTCTCCAGATAGGAAGTGAGAGACTCTTGTCTCCCTGGTGGACCATTGTGTATTGAGTATCTTACAACAGAGGTGTATTAGCATAGTGAGTCAAATGGTAATGAAGTGAAGAGTTTGTAGATTTTTCAGAAGGGAGATTAACAGGAAGAAGGAAAAAGGGGCAGGGCGGGAGGGAGAGATAATCCTGTTTTCAGGTGAAGATCAAAGGCCTGGTCCGCTGTACATCTCCGGGTGCGCAGAGAGAGAGACTGGCATACTTGTGAAGACAAGCTGCCTGCAGGCTTGATCTTGTGCAAGAGAGATCTCAGCCATCCTGGTTGAAAACACTGGGGAAAAAGACTTGAGGTAAACTATCCTGTAGGAGATACAGGAATGTCCTCTGAATTAAATTCACACTCTAGAAAGTAAAAAAGAAAAGGAGTACTTGTGGCATCTTTTGAGACTAACAAATTTATTTGAGCGTAAGCTTTCGTGAGCTACAGCTCACTTCATCAGATGCATTCAGTGGAAAATACAGTGTGTTACATCTCTATTTTATATGTAACCATTTGTTTACAATAATCTTACTTACAATCATTTGAATCTCTCTACTTTGATAATAAACTTATTCTTGTTTTCACTATAAATATGTCTAAGGGCTATGTGTTAAGCAGAGTGCTGATCCTGAGTTTCCTTGTAAGCTGGGTTCTTTGGGAGCAGGGCATCTCAATGTTTGGTGGAACAGGGGCTGAGTGCTCCAGAGGGACACTTCGAGACTGGGGGTGGCATGTGCCTATCGCTAACCTAGACAGAGACAGTGAGGCCTGCAGAGATGTTGAAGGCAGTGCTTGTGTTTGCCAGAGGTTGGTGGAGTCAGGGAGCTGATCCACAGCAGGCACAGACAAAACTCCCTCGTGCTAAGGGCAGGTGGTAGCGAAGGGCCTCACAATCCTGGGTACCTTTTGGGAAGCATTACACAGTGCTAAGGGCTGGCAGCAAGATTGGGACCCCTCCAACAGGGAGGCTAGTACTCCTGGGATGCAGCCTTCTGCTTCCCAGTTGCAGAGTCCCTACCGGCCTCCCCAAAAGAGGAGGGTAACTGCTGGTTGGTGGCTGCTGCAGCTGTGGCAGTTAGGGAGCCTGGGTCTCACTGACTGAGACCTTCACAGAGCCCATTTGCTTCATTTGTCAGACAGAGCCCCCTCCTGACCCTGGGCTTTCACCAGGTCCTCCTGCCACCTGATTACCTCATTGTGCCCCCCCCCACCCTTCCAGTTATTGGTAAATAACCTCTGTTTCTTCTTCAAGGAGCCTCTACACTGGGATAAATGTGACTTTGATGGTATGCCTTAGATGCATTCACATAACAGAAATCTGTCCGACTGCAAATCTGTACGACTGACTGCAACTTAAAGCTCATAACGCACATTTACAAAACTTTACTCCTTACATTTAGCCTCAAGATCTGGTGCAAAGTTTGGGAGAACAGTATTACAATCTTTGTTCAGCTAGAACTCCTCAGCTAAACTTTTTGTGGGGGAGAATACTGCTTGCTAAATTTCTAAGAAGTGAGAATATACAGCAGCTCCTTGAAGAAGAAATAGAGGTTATTTACCAATAACTGGAGCTCTTTGAGATGAGCTCTCCTCTACAAATTCATACTACCTGGCCACCCACTTTCCTTCCCTGGAATCATGTCTCTTTGCTGAACTCTTAGGTTCAGGTCCTAGGAGATGAGGCTGTAGGGGTGCCTCAACCACTTTCATACTCTGGCTCCCAGAACATTAGGACCAGTGAGAGAAGCAGGCAGGTGCCACAATGAGCACTGCTTCTAGAAGATTCTGTTTGCTGCATCATTGCTACATCTTCTAAAAGTGTAAATGTGCGTAAAGACTTATCTCAAAGAACTCCAGTTACTGGTAAGCAACCTTCACTTTCATTGTTCTTGTTCATATATTAATACTAAAACATTACTTTATAATTATTAAACTATCGAAATAGTTAATTCAAAAATAAAATGAGCTACTATTTTATCCTGAAGCCTTTTGCCCCAAAATTACATAAAGCTTATATAATTGACAGGTCTGAATTGTTGATGTGAAGGCATGTGCTATTGCAAAAAGTTTTTGTACAGCAGAATAGTGTGATTCCTTTATTCTTTCTTTTGTTGCTACATTCCCAGGAAACATTTTCTTTGAATAAGAAGTCATCCTCAAAATAATCTCAAACCATACAATGGCCTCAGCTGTAATCAGTTCAGTTCCCACTACTGCATCTCGCTTTGCTCTATTACAAGTGGATAGTGGTAGTGGTTCTGATTCAGAGACTGGAAAGGGAAGAAGTGGTCGAGGTGCTGGGAAGTCGCAAGCTTCAGGGGGAAAATCAACTACAAATGAGAAGAAGAAAGAAAAGAGGAGAAAAAAGAAGGAACAGCAGCAGAGCGAGGCTAATGAGGTAGAGAGGCTGTTATATTTTCAGTAACATACAAGGTGTGCAGTTATGCCAGATACCCATATGCCTTGGGTAAATTGTTCATCTGTTAGCTGAGTAATGTGGCTATTTTTGTTGCTTTTGACATGTTACTTTGTAAAACAAAAGAATGTCAGGTTATAGTCATTAAAAGGTATTATTTTAAAAAATAAATTTTTTCCTCAAAACTTCTTGTTAGAGTTCAGTCACAACTACACTTCTTTAAATGTGGGAGGCTCTTGACTAATCAAACAACTAGATTTATACATTTAAGTGAAAATAATTTGGTTTCTTACATATCCCCATTTCCTGGTCACAGACCTTATTCAGCTGGAGATATAGGACAGACAGGGAAACATTCATCTTAGGAAGTGGGAGCTGGTATCTTGTAGTTCCTATAGGATTTTTTCCTTTATATCCAGAAAGGGATGGAGAGGTCTTGGAACAAGTTTGTAGAATCATAGGTTGTGGGGCTAGTAATGAAGGATGTGGTAGATTTTCTTTGACCTGGAATAGATGTTTCTAAACTGCAGATTCAACTTGTAGGACTTGCATACCAAATGAGTAATGGAACTCTTTAAAAGAACGGCTTTGGATCTTACGTTCTAGAGCTGATCAAATAAACAGCCCCATATCCTGACCATCCCTCAGTTTCTCTTTCCTCTAGCTTCAGTGAACTTGGAACCCATCCCCTTTCTCTGCATTGGGACAGTTTTCTTAGTTCAACTTTTTGATGGTTAAGTTGTTGAAAATATTCACTTGGAAAATCTTACAAATGTAAACAAAGCTTCCTATAGTGAAACTGTCACTGCACCCAGCCATGGCAGATCTGGGGGGAAAGAAGCCAGTGTTCATGAAATGGTATTGTGCTGATGTAATGTTGGACATGAACCAAGGCATCCTGTGTCTATAATGCCCAGAAGGTCATTTGAGGATGGGATGTCCTATTTGTTTTCACACCAGCATGTAGGGAAAACAATTGTAGTCCTTATGGAAACCTTTGCATTTCAGAGTCTCTCCTTGTGGGAACTGTTGCAGATTCAGGTTGTTCAGCTCTTGGAATGATATTCACTATCTCTTCCCAAAAAAAGTCCTCTTGGCAAAGAAGAATCTGGCTTGTCCAGATTCAAGAGCTTTACATTTTTCAGACCTAGCTATTAGGGTACAATTTCCTCAAGTAGAACAACAGAGTTCTCCAGGGATCTGAGGTCTCTCAGCTCCTCCATTTACTAGGAAAAAAGCACAGGTGTGCAGGGGTCCAGTGGGAAGCAACAATCTTTCATTTGTGTCAGGTACTTTGTGCAGGAGTTGAGTTCTGATTGTCCCATGACACTGATAGCATTCTGTGATTCAAGGAGATCTGAAAGTCCTTCTGAATATTCATAAGATAGCTAGAACCATTGGCTGTGTCTGAGGAGTCTTCAAAACTGGCTTCCCTGGTACTGTCTATACAGGCCTTGCAAAGAGAAATATCCCTGGAGTCTCCTTGGATCCAAGCCCCAAGTCTGTTATACCCACAATCTTTTTTCTGAAGCTTTGTTATCCCTGGTATAGAGGGCCTGTGAGTCCAAGATTAAATAGAATCAAAGATCCAAGGACGGGTATAGAAGTGCAATGCTTGGCAGCCTCAAACTGCTCCTTCTGGTGCAGCAACATCTGGTCCACCTACTTAGGCTTCTTGTTAGTGTCGCCTGTCTAGAACAGTTCCCTCTTTGACACATTGTCAAATTGAAAAAGTAGGAAAAATTTAGAAATATTTATTTTAAAAAAATTGGACTAATCCTTTTGGAATTAATCTTAATACCTATTTGTAACAATAATAGGTAAAACAATTTTGGACAAATGTGTTTTTTAAACTGTGGTTTTCAATGTTGCACATGCAATTTTAATTTGAACATTTTCTGATTTTTTTTTTGTAAGTGCCTAGCCTTGCTGCTCCAACATTATCAACACCATCTTTATATTTAAGAATGATTCGAGTGAAAATAACATCTAATGTTACACTACCTAAGATAAAATTGTAAGCTTCAAAGTTTGATGTATGCCATCTGGGGTCCAGAAAAATCGTATTTCCCCATCTTCTGGTGAAACAGTCTTTCAGAATTAGTTGCATTGTGGAGGGTCTTAAGTCTGTCTTTGAAACATCTGGAATTGACTTCTGTTCATGAAAATACACAACTGAGTGGACAGGTAGTCTTTTTGTTATGGTATTTCCTATGTCTGAGCACTTTCTATAAAATAAACACAGGAGAGTGTAATAAAACTTAGAGTGAAGTTAGGCTGGGAGGTCAGCTATGCACTTTAAATGTGAACCGTGAAATTCCTTGCTTTTGAGTTGGAGAGTCTTTAATGTTACTTTTCAACATATTATTTTGTAGTTATCTAAGGGCTTGTCTACACTTCCAAGTTTTGCTGACAAAACTTTATGTTGACACCCAAAGGTCGACAAAACAAAAATCGCCAAAGGGTGTTCACACTTGCTCCCTCTGTGGACAGATCATGTCCACATTGCTCACCCTGTCGATGATGGTGTCCCCAATGCTCTGTGGGTATGTATCCCACTGTGCAGTGTTGTGGGAAGGAAGAGCTGATCAATGCACATCTTAGGATTCTCTCCGAGTTCTCCCACAGCCCCCTCAGCTGCCGAGAGCAGCATCATGAGTAGCTCTGTGAGCTCTAGGTGCTGAGGAATGGCAAAGTAGCACAGCAGTCTGTCCCCCTCCCGCTATGGCTGTGTTCTTAGGGCAGAATAGGAGCATTCCAATGATTTGCTCTTTGTTCCCCAAAGGGAGCAGCATACAGATACTTCCCAGAGCTTTGAAAGGGGAGGGGAGCATGCCTGCAGGGCAGCAGAGATCAAAACACTCAGCAGAGCAATCAGGGCAGGCATTGTGAGATACTGGCAGAAGCCAGTTCTGTCGACAAAACAATCAGCAGTGTCTGCACTGTTTGTCGACAATAAAGGGAGGGGAAAAGACAAAAGTCTCTTGTAGGGGTGGAAGTATTTTTTCACCAAAAACAGGGCGTTTTTCACGACAAAAGTCCCATTGTAGTGTGTACGCTCCTGCTGCTTTGTCGCCAAAAGGCAGTTTTTGGCGACAAAACTTGCCAGTGTAGACAAGTCCTAGGATACTTCTAAGGTGTCTATCACTATAGTGACAGGTTTCAGAGTAACGGCCGTGTTAGTCTGTATTTGCAAAAAAAGAAAAGGAGTACTTGTGGCACCTTAGAGACTAACCAATTTATTTTTTATTTTTACTACACGAAAGCTTATGCTCAAATAAATTGGTTAGTCTCTAAGGTGCCACAAGTACTCCTTTTCTTATCACTATAGTATTCACATGCCAGAAAACAATTATAAAAGTAACTGCTCACAGATTGATGTAGTACTTAGCACATGCTTGACTTAAGAACTGTGTATTGGAAAGCTTGTCTTTTACTGGACCAACTTCTCTTGGTGAAAAAGGTATTACCTTACCCTCCTTGTCTTTCTAATATCCTGGGTCTGACACTGCAAACATTAAACTGTTGTAAATATCAGCATTATCGGCTATTAAAACTACTTTGGCTGTATTGGTTTAATTGGTGAAATGAATGTAAGTTATAGGCAGATCCCCTAAGGCTATGTCTACGCTAGAGACCTTACAGCGGCACAGCTGTACCCATGCAGCTGCACTGCAGTAAGGTCTCTTTTGTAGCTGCCCTATACCAAAGGGAGAGAGCTCTCTCGTCAACATAAGCCACCCCCTAAAAGCGGCAGTAGTTATGTTGGTGTGGGAAGCTCTCCCACCAACATAGTGCTGTGCACAGTACCACTTATGCTGGCGAAACTTATGTTGCTCGGGGTGTGATTTTTCACACCCGTGAGCAACATAAGTTTTGGCAACATAAGGAGTAGTGTAGACATCACCTAAATGTCTAAGATAGCCCAATTGGCATATTGTTTCTGTATAATCACTAATATTCTAGTAAATAGCAGCACCATTGATTTATATTCCTGGCTCTTGCTTTGCAGCTCCGAAATCTTGCTTTTAAAAAGATTCCTCAGAAATCCTCTCATGGAGGCTGTCTGTCTCAACATGAACAAATGTTGCACAGCCCAGTGGAGAAAGACTCTCAGGAAGAAAATTGGCAAGAGTGGAGACAAAGAGATGAACAGGTAAAGCTTGCTATATCAAATTATTTTACTTGGTTGTCTTGCAGAGTAATGTAATACGAACTTCAAAGGTAAATGTGTGAGAGAAATAGCTATGGCTGAGATTTTTCAAAGCAGCTTGGAGGATTTTCATTCATCTTCCAAAAATTTTAATGAGACAGGGTGGGTAATGTAATATCTTTTATTGGACAAACTTCTGTTGGTGAAAGAGACAAGCTTTTGAGTTACACAGTGTTCTTCTGGACACTCAGGGAAGAGCTCTGTGTAGATCAAAAGATTGTCTCTTTCACCAACAGAAGTTGGTCCCATAAAAGATATTACCTCACCAATCTTGTCTCTCTAATATCCTGGGTCAATGTAGCTACAACAGTGCAAACAAAAAAATTTAATCAAAGGACTGGAAGGGACCTCGAGAGGTCATCTAGTCTAGTCCCTTGCACTCATGGCAGGACTAAGTATTAACTAGACCATCTCTAACAGGTGTTTTTCTAACCTTCTTTTAAAAATCTCCAATGATGGCAATTTAGGCAATTTATTCCAGTGCTTAACCACCCTAACAGTTAGGAAGTCTTTCCTAATGTCCAACCTAAACCTCCCTTGCTGTAATTTAAGTTCATTGCTGCTTGTCCCATCCTCAGAGGTTAAGAATAATTTTTCTCCCTCCTCCTTGTAACAGTCTTTTATATACTTGAAAACTGTTATCTTGTCCCCTCTGTCTTCTCTTTTCCAGACTAAACAAACCCATTTTTTTTCAGTCTTCCCTCATAGGCCATGTTTTCTAGACCTTTAATAACTTTTGTTGCTCTTCCCTGGACTTTCTCCAATTTGTCCACATCTTTCCTGAAATGTGGTTCCCAGAACTGGATACTCCAGCTGAGGCCTAATCAGTGCGGAGTAGAGCAGAAGAATTATTTCTCATGTCTTGCTTACAACACTCCTGCTAATACATTCCAGAATGATGTTCGCTTTTTTTACAACAGCATTACACTGTTGACTCATATTTAGCATGTGGTCCACTATGACCCCCAGATCCCATTCCGCAGTACTCCTTCCTAGGCAGTCTTTTCCCATTTTGTATGTGTGCAACTGATTGTTCCTTCCTAAGTGGAGTACTTTGTATTTGTCCTTATTGAATTTCATGCTATTTACTTCAGACCATTTCTCCAGTTTGTCCAGATCATTTTGAATATAATCCTATCCTCCAAAGCACTTGCAACCCTTCCCAGGTTGGTATCGTTCGCAAACTTTGTAAGTGTACTCTCTATGCTTATCTAAATTATTGATGAAGATATTGACCAGTATCGGACGCTTCTGCAGGCCCCCCTCTTCCCCTTTTCCCCGTGCACCCACCTTATAGAGTCCATTAGGTAATTCCCTAGTTTGTTTATGGGAAGGGAACAAAAGCTTTACAAAAGTCAAGATATACCACGAAAAGAAAAGGAGTACTTGTAGCACCTTAGAGACTAACCAATTTATTTGAGCATGAGCTTTCGTGAGCTACAGCTCACTTCATCAGATGTATACCGTGGAAACTACCACGTCTACCACTCACCCCCCCCCCACACACACACACAAGGCTTGTTACCTTGTTGAAGAAAGCTATCAGGTTGGTTTGACACAATTTGTTCTTGACAAATCCATGCAGACTGTTACTTATCACCTTCTAAATGTTTGCAAATTGATTGCTTAATTATTTGCTCCATTATCTTTCTGGATACAGAAGTTAAGCTGACTGGTCTGTAATTCCCTGGGTTGTCCTTATTTCCCTTTTTATAGATTGGCACTCTATTTGCCCTTTTCCAGTCTTCTGGAATCTCTCCCATCTTCCATGACTTTTCAAAGATCATCGCTAATGGCTCAGATATCTCCTCAATCAGCTCCTTGAGTATTCTAGGATATATTTCATCAGGCCCTGGTGACTTGAAGACCTCTAACTTGTCTAAGTAATTTTTAACTTGTTTTTTCCCGTATTTTAGCCTCTAATCCTACCTCATTTTCACTGGCATTCACAACGTTAGATGTCCAATCACCACCATCCTTCTTGGTGAAAACCGAAACAAAGAAGTCATTAAGCATTTCCATCATTTCCACATTTTCTGTTATTGTTTTCTCCCGCTCATTGAGTTATGGGCCTACCCTGTCCTTGGTCTTTCTCTTGCTTCTAATGTATTTGTAGAATGTTTTCTTGTTACCCTTTGTCTCTCTAGCTAGTTTGATCTCATCTTGTTCCTTGGCCTTTCTAATTTTGGCCCTAGATACTTGTGTTATTTTATATTCATCCTTTGTAATGTGACCTAGTTTCCACTTTTTGTAGGACTCTTTTTTTGATTTTTAGATCATTGAAGATCTCCTGGTTAAGCCAGGATAGTCTCTTGCCATTACTTCCCTTTACGCAATGGGATAGTTTGCTCTTGTGCCCTTAATGTCTGTTAATAATGTCTAATGGAAGACATGAGACAGAATCTCCTGCTTTGCTCAATCTTTACACTTAAATCTCGTATTTTAAAGATTTTTCTCTGCTGTAAAAATCTTTTGAAGCATCTTTGCCGTCACCCTTATTATCAAAAGAGCATTTCAGTTGGCTTATTCTTGGTCCTCTGATGTGCTGAGTTCTCTCTCAAATCCAGATCTCTCCAAGAGCAGTGCACCTAACAAGCCATAAGGCTACGAGAACAGTCACATCTGTCAATATAAGATACTTATTAATTGCAATAGATACCCCTATTTTTTTAGTTGATATATTTACCAAAAGTAAGTATTCTCTATAGAGATAGGGGTCACCAACATTTTTAAATGTAATAAAGCAGAGGCCACTGTAGTGTGTGTGCATGTAGTGAGTGCCATTGAAACCTTTTTACCCTGATTCCTCTTGGTAGAACTACTAAAGGCAGCAGTTACACTAAAAATTGTGATGACTTCAAAATGTTAAAACCTTTTAGCCTTGAGATAAGACCATTTGAAAAACCCTACATCAATCAGTTTATGAAAATGTAACAGTGCCTTTCCACCCTATGATGTCAGTAGGAGAAACATTTATAATTAAAACTGATGTTCCTTTGTTGATTACAGTAGTTCAGTACTTCACCTAAATATTTTGTTGACTTATAGAATGTCAGTTTATTTTACCATTTAGTGCAATGCCGTTCTGTTTTTACATCTTATTTTAGGTGTGTGTTTTTACATTTTTCCTTGTTCTAGAATAGTGAGAGCTATATGAAGCTCTTTACAACGTTTACTAATAGATACGTGATGATCTGGTGTCATTGGTTACTGGGTATCTGGATATCTGTGTTTTCTCCTTTTATAAGAAAACTGATTCATGCAGAGTCAGTGACATCACAATTCTCTATGAATTATGCATTTTGAGATACTCCTGTACACTTGTAAGGTCCGCTTAAGGGGCCAGTATTGATGGTGACATGTCTTTAAAAGGTCTGTGTGAAGTTCAGGAGATAGGTCAGAGTTCTGAAAATGATATTTGAAAATCTCTCTCTACATGTCAATGAAGTCCAGGTAGCTGTCAATATAGGTGTTTCTTCCTCTTTGTTGAGCCACAGATTTGAGGATGTTAATTTCAGAAATCCCATTTTGGAAGATGATCAAGTGTTAAGTGAGAGCAACATTGGTGCATAATAAATTGTTGAAGATTGTTAATACTGTGATGTCAGGAGACTTTTGGAGGGAGAGGTATCAATTTTTTTTCAGCCTTCCTGTGCCTTCTGATTAGATGGTTGGTATATCAACCAATGTAGTAGTGACCATAAAGTGCTTTAGAGAATTGCATGAAGCTTACAAGCTGCATGTCTCTGCCCTCCTTATTATAAAAGAGGAGAAACACTAAACCCTAGTTTAAGTATTTATGAATGTATTATTGAACAGTGGGACTGGATGGTGGTCATACAGTTAATTCTTAATTCAGTTGCATTCTCGAGGCCCATAGGTTATAAAATTGTCTCAGGTTTTCCTTTCACTTTTAAAAGTAATTTCATGGCTTTGCTATTGTCCTGAAATATACCACTCTGACTTTGGCGCCATGATAAGACACTTTTTCACTAGTGGGTAGTAGAGAATAGCATAACTAGATTGAGGCTATTGTAGCTTTTGCGATCAGAGCATGGGCTGTTTGTGTATGTAGTATAGTATTGAGCACGCTGTCAATTTTAAGCAATTGTTTAAGGATCACAGTAGAGGATGGGGAGTTGTGATACTCCTGGCACATGCTCTGCCCACAATTCCTGAATAACTAGATGTTTTTTCTAAGCTGATCAGTAATGAAATAACTAAAAATGTAACATCATCCTCATTAGGCTGCAGAGTTAACATCCCATTAAAAAAATGAAGTAGTTTACTTCTGTCACTGTGCTGTCTGGTGGTTTATATCTTGTAGTTTTTTCTTGGCTACTACAAGAGCTAGAGGGTAAAACTTTCCAATTCACCTAAGTCACTTAAGAGCCAAAGTCTATGGGATTTAGACTTCTAAATGACTTAAGCACTTCTGAAAACTCCACCCAGAAACCCAATTTCTTGGAATGAAATATTAGTTTCTCCAGAGACTGATGGGGGGGCCACCACCAGGAATGTGTTTGTACTGCATAACACTGCATACTATCTAAAATTGAACCTTGGAGAGAATTTTGAGTATTGCTGCAAGGTGTACATGGCGTGAGTACCCTTAACAAGTATAGGTAAATTCCATATTCTCTGTTTGATTAGTACATGTTTAATAATAAAAACTTTCTGTCTTTAAAACTATTCCTTAATTTATAAACGTAATCACTGTTTGTAGCTGCTGCCAATAATGTCTGCCCGTGCTGCAATATATTCAATTGGCTCTTTGGAGGTAGCCTGTTAGAATGAGGGATGGGGAAGATTGTGAGAAAAAGGGATACTGGACCAAAAAGAAAAGGAGTACTTGTGGCACCTTAGAGACTAAAAAATTTATTTGAGCATAAGCTTTCATGAGCTACAGCAACGCTGAAGGAGAGACTTTAGTTTGTTTATACTCTGTTGTGTGAATTTTGAGACTAACAACAAGAAAACCTAAATATTTTCAGTAAATTTGCTAAAGTTTATTTTACAGTAGAGCAGTGGTCCCAAATCTTTCTGTGGGACTAGTACATTCCTATTCCTAACAGACTGTGGCAGGCGCCATACACCCCACCGCCGAAATGCCTCCGAGAACCGGCAGCGGAAAGAAGCCTCGCCGCCGAAATGCTGCCAAGAAACGGCAACATTTCTCGATGGATTTCAGCGGGCGGTTCTCAGGTGGCCGTGCTTGGTGGTGGCATTTCGGTGGCGCGGTGTCCTGCAGGCGCACACAACTGCCCTGGCGGGCGCCATTGCACCTGCAGGCACCACGTTGGGGACCCCTGCAGTAGAGGATATAGCCATTAGTCTTCCAGTTTAAATCTCAACTGCAATGTAAATGTTTAAATTGTAAATTTTGTTTAAAATACTGTTCCTATAGTATTTGGAAAATATTTAACTATTAATAGAACAGAACAAGGTCCTAAAGCTGGTAAAGGATTTCTGCTGATGTAGCCCCAAGAGGATTGTCATCTTAGTGATGGCATTCGTATTGCAGTAGCACTTAGCTCCAATAACTGTTTGGGCTCTTTTGTGCTAGACTCCGTACAAACATTTAAGGAGACAGTCTTTGTTCTGAGGAACTTACAGTATTAACTTCCACATACATGTTAAACATTGCCTTTTTATAACTTTACTCCTCCCCCACTCCACCCATTTCTTCCTTTTTTTCATTACTTTAATTTTTCAGGACAATCGTTGTGCCTTGATTTTTTTGGTAGACATCCTTCTTGATCAGGGCTCAGATTCTGTTCTATAGTTGATACTAAATTGTAGCCATAGAATAAATAAATTTATGCGCTATTACCCCAAACAGATACCTGCATACTGGCAGTCTCTCACATGTCCTTGCCTCCTGTTGAGAGGGTATTTATATGATTGTGTTCAAGGACCTAAGCCAAAAGGAGAGACTCTTGGCTCACTATTGTAAAACTAAGAACACTGGTCTTTATTCATGCAAAACTCATTGTGGGAGTTTTGTCTGATTAGAGTGACTGCAAAGAATGTTTAGATCAGTGGTTCTCATCCCGCGGCCCAATCCGCACACAGCTGTGGCCCATGTGACCTCCTCAGGACCATACAGGTAGTATATATAATGTGTGGATGCGGCTCAGATAACACAAAGAGAGCTGTGAGCAATGCGTCCCACAGTGGTAAATAGATTGAGAACCACTGGTCTAGATCTTTGGAGGATTTAATAAACCATGTATTTTAAGCAATCTGTGTCTCCTGAAACCCTGTAAGTTCTTTAAGGGCACAGTTATGACAGGCAGGAAAGTTATATGGTATCACTAAAACTTATAAAAGCTAGTTGAGCCATTTTTAATTTGATCAAATTGAGCTGAGAATGTGCAAAGACTCAGACTTTAAGGCCAAAGAGACCATCATGATCATCTAGTCTGACATCCTTCACATTGCAGACCACAGAACTTCATCCGCCCACTCCTGTAACAGACCCATAATCTCTGGCTGAGATTCCGAAGTCCTCAAATCATGAGTTAGAGACTTCAATTTACAGAGACTTCAAGTTTAATCCCTACTAATTGAAAACATCCTAATTGCAACTCAAAGAACAGACAAATGACAGATGAAAGAGAAGAGTAGCGGAATGAACGGACAAAGACAAACTAGGAAACATGATAATATTTGCTTATTTGTCACACTGGGATTGCTTTGATAATTTGGGAACCATTTAAAGGAATAATATCTGATGCAAACAAACTGCTACGTTTTTAGAGATGTATTATAATTAGTTACATCTGAGGTGTGCATGTTTGTTTATATTACTGCTGTATGCACACTGCAGTTTTTCCAACCCCCTGAAGAGCAGCCACTTCCTTCTGATCCAGCAATACCCTGAATCCAGGTGAATCCCTTCCTCTGCTTATCTTCAGCCCATCTGTGTTCCCCATTCAGTAAGTTTGTATTGGCTTTGGTGTATTTTTTTTTTTTGGCTTACCTTTTCCCATGGAGATTAATATAGTGCTGTAAACAAAACTCAGCTACTCCTCTGCTGTACCACCACACTATAAAATCAGATGTTACCCCTCTACCTCTGCTAAGCAACACTTAGTTCTTTCTTTCCTTTTCAGTCCCCACATATAAAATTTCAATTCCCCTTTTATCCCACATCCCAAGAAACTCCATCAAGACTAAAGCTTCCCTCCATCTCTCCTTAATCTAAGACCGCTCTTGATCCCTTACGCTTCTCTGAAACAACTCTTGCACTGCACATCCTCCTATGGCATCCCAGACAAACTTTTGTTTCTTTCACACATGATGTCCTGGAGTCTCTTGCCATCCCTGCCATTCAGCAGAAGTTACTTTTTGTTAATGGCGGCAGAGGTGGCCTGGTCTTTTCTATGCTTTTGAGAGGCTCTTCTTTCCCCTGTTCTACTTGTTCATATTTTAGGCTTTAAAATCAACAAGCTTCTGCATGCAAAACTTCAAGATCTAAGTTACAAGCAAGCATTTTGAACAAAAGCAATTTAAAAAAAAAAGAACTTCACTTTCCCTATAGTGACTTAGTAGTGCATGGTTTCAGTCAGACTTTTATTTAACAAAATGTGTTTCAACCAATAAGGTATTCTACCAACTGTTGTACAAACGTATTTAGTCGTTCTTACTCATGCATTTCATCATATTACCAAGAGTATGTTGACAGTAGCTGTAACATTCCATAGGCTAAAATTAGTTTTAACCTTTTTAACCAGCTGTCAATTGCGCACCTTTTTGCTTTTTATTAATAAAAACAAAAACAATCTGTCATGAGTTTGTCTTAATCTTATTTCTTCAGCTGACATCTGAAATGTTTGAAGCAGATCTTGAAAAGGCATTACTGCTAAGCAAACTGGAATACGAAGAGCACAAAAAGGTATTTGGTGGCTTCATCGTGATCTGAAAATTGTGCAAGTTTTTGACCTTTATTGAGTTCTGGAGAAAGGAGTCTAATTTGGTTTCCACAAAATTTTGTGTAAGCTAACTCTTTAGTTTTTAATACCCAAAGATTTACTAAGAATTGAGAGAACCATTAGAGAGTTGAGGGAAACCACAAACAGCCATATTACAGTTTGAGAATGTTAAAGATGACCTGCCAAGGGGGAAAATGAGTTTGTACCCTCTTTGCTTCTTTGATAATATAAAGACATTTGTTTTCACCTTAAAAATAAGACTGCTAAAGCTTGTTCTATGTAGGGGTGGGTGTGTTTTGTTTTATTTATTGATCTTGGTGGGGGTTCTGGAGAGGTCTTCCTAGAGGATCATAGAACTGAAGGGGAGGGGGAGCTTTTTTAGGTCTGAATTGAAGTGGTAGGCATGTTGAATCTTTAATGTCTTTCCTCCCAATTGTTTCAGGTATTTGACTTAAATAGATAACAGTTTTGAACAGGCTGACTAAAAATTCCTTCTCAGCTGGTTAGGTTTACCACCTTTGGTGCTTGTGGTGGTGTCTTGCTAGTTCTCCAGTCATCTACATAGTGTTCCAGGAGAGAAAGTGCTGATAAGTCCTGAATTTCTAGTGTGAAAAACAAGTAGGAAACTTTAAGAAAAACAAAAACCTTAAATTATACAGAATAAAAAAGCAAAAATGGCACACATCCAATTTTTTGCTCTGAGTGTCAGCTTTAGTAGTGTCTTGTACTTCTGTTGGACAAACTAAGACTTTGCAGAGGTTTTTTGTTTGTTTGAAGGGAATCCCCACAATTAAGTTAAAGTTCTTAAAACTAAACTGTAATTTAACTTCCAATTTTAACTTCATTTTAAAATGCATACTTAAGTACAGGCAAGCGAAGACTTAGTCTTTAAGCATAGCTGTTGGGGATTTGCTCTTGAGTCCAAATGGCATCTGCATGGATTACAAGTAAAGCCAACTCTCTAGCAGTTTGGGAGAACTTTGTATATGCTAATAAATTTAAAATCTAGTAGCTGTTTATATTGTAGTCTCATAGTATAGGACAGGGTTTCAAAACCATTTTCTTTCTGAGCCCCCCGGCTATTAAAAACTCCAGCTGAGGGAGAGGCATGGCTCTGGGCTTCAGCCGCAGGTGGTGAGGGGGTCGGTCCAGGCTTCAGCCACCAGGCTGGGGGCAGGGGTTGGAACTCTTGCCCTGTGGAGTGCTGGGGGCCTCTGAACTTCCTGTCCTGGGCCCCATCCAGTCTAAAACTGGCCTGCTTCGCAGACCCCCTGAAACCAGTTGAGGGGCAGTGGACCCCCAGTTGAGAGCGGCTGGTATAGAACATCAGAGACTGTTTTATCTTTTTTTCTCTGTTTTATTTATTTTCTGTATCACTACTTTTTCTCTTTAGGTAAAACCTTCAAATCACACTTTACTGTTTTCAGTGTAATGGCACATTTAATAAAACAGAACCTCAGGCTTAAAAGGAACTCATTAAAACTCTTTGTCTAATTTCATTTAAGAAGTAATGTCAGTTGGCTAGAGCATGGCCACAGAATATTGGTGATCTACTGCTGTATGAATGACTAGGGATATTGAGAGTAAATGTCAAGCAGATGTTTTGTTTTTAAAGCAAGTATAATTGATTGTGACACTACTGTATTACAGTGCTTTTTGATTATATTATACTAAATAATTGATTTTTAGATATCATTTTATCTAGGTGTTGGGGTAGTAGGCTGACCGTTCACTGTACTGTTTGTGAATAGCTATACTCTGGTTTAAAGAACACAGTTGTTTCTTTAGGCTAATCAGAGTACAGAGCAAGAAAGATGTCTACCAAAAGCCTTCAAATTATTTTAGACCAAGAGCTTTGTCTATGTACTGTCATTTTTCTTAAGAACACAAAACTTTAGAGCAGTGGTCCCCAAACATTTTAGGGTTGCGTGCCCCCCCCAGCCCTCCTGGGGCTGGGAGTGGGGGTGGGGCATGACATGGACAGGAGTAAGGGGCTGGAGGTGGGTCTGAGAGCAGGGCTAGGAATGGAGCAGAGGCTGGGGGCTGGCTGCTCAGCCTCTGTCCAGGTGCAGCTCCCCCCCAAGTCTCTGCCTCAGGCTGGGAACGGAGTCGCAGCCAGGGGCTGAGGGCAGGGCTGGGAGTGAAGCCGCAGCTGGGCTGTGGTGGGGTCAGCAGCTGGCCTCCGGCTGCATGTGAAGCCATGCTGAGTCTGGGGATAGGGCCGGGAGCCATGGCTGGGGGTGTGGCCAAAGCAAAGCTGGGGGCCTGGTGGGACTGGGTGGCCCTCCCTCCCTGCCCTCCCCCCCCGGGGGGGCTGGCCTGGGCCTGCTAATGTTCCTCTGCGCCCCCTAAGGTGGCATGTCCCACAGTTTGGGGACCTCAGCTTTAGAGCAATTAAATTACTAATTGGTTTATTCATTAGAGTAAAATAGTGCAATCAGTAGGGTTTTATTCCTTTCAGGACTATGAAAATGCTGAGAATGCTTCACCTCCCTCAAAATCAGTGAATAAGAAAGAGAAAAGAAAGAACCAGCAGGGAAAAGACAAACCTCTCACAGTATCTCTGAAAGACTTTCAGTCAGACATTAATATAGGTATGCATTTTTATGTTTAAATATTTATTTACAAACCAAGTGTTTAATTCTTTGGAATTTCTATGACTTATACTTTTAATAACAAAACACCCTCTGGACTGAAACTCTGCATTTCCAAAGTCTCAGTTCAGGAACACTGTATTTAAATATATTCACTGAACAGTGTTAGAAACAAGTAAACTAAACACTGTGTTCTAATAGCTCTAAATCTAACTTTAGGTATCCTGAATCTTCTTATTTTTAATGTGGACTAATCAGTTTAGCTAAGGAGAGGAGCAAATGAGAGAAGTATTTAACTGCTGAGGTGTGGAGAAGTACTGAACTTGTTTCAGTGACCAGTATCAGGCAATGGTCCAAGCTCACTCCAGAGGAAAAACTCTTTACTCCCAGCTTGGTTGTACTTGCTGCCTTGCTCTTCCCCACACTAGTGAGTTCCCTCTACTTCCCAGAAAGGTGGTAGGACACTAGTTGCCCTTTGCACCCAAAGCTGGCTCTTTTGGGGAGGAAGAATTAAGGGAGGGGAAATATTGCTTACCACAGCGCCTTTTACACTCTTTGTAAATTCTTTGGGTGCTGGTTTGTTCCTGGTGTCTTCAGAGCAGTGGTCCTGCCTTTAGCAGGGAAACAATGGTAGGATCTGGAAAGAGAAAAAATACTATTGAATCAAGTCTATTTAAAAAAAAATATTCTAAGCACTTATCTAAGTTACCAGTATTTTATTAAATGTGTGTTGATTTTAAAAACAAACCAAGAAACAAAAACAAAAAAACCAGTAAAACACCCGCAAAGGATGACAGTCTGAACAAATTATAGATGTTGGTCTTGTGCCCTAATATGCTATTGGAAGGCACTGAGATTCTAAGGTGATAAGGGCAATATAAGAACCAGAATAGAATTAAATACAGTCTGCAGTCTGTTTATTGCAAAAATGTTGCTTGCCAGTTATGAATTCTCACTGCATTTAACAAATTAGGGTCTGCTTTCTTTTACGTTATTTTAAGGGATAGGGTTTAAAATACAACATAGACCAATGATACTCAGACTGAGGCTTGTCTTCACTACTGGCGTAAGTCGACCTAAGTTACGTGACTCCAGCTACATTATTCATGTCCCTGGAGTTGACTTCCCCTGGTGTCTTCGCTGCACTGTGTCAGTGGGAGACCCTCTCCAGTCAACTTACCTTACTCTTCTTGGAGAGCTGGAGTACTTAAGTCGCTAATTCAACATCCACTGCATTGATTGCAGCAGCATTGATCTCCCTAGTAGAGAAGCCCTGAGGCTCACAAGCTGCAAGTGGATCTTTAGCGTGTCTCCTGCGACTCTTTGCAGCACATGATTTTAAAACACTGTGTGATGTAGTTATTAACCAATCGGGATACTTTTATAAACTAAGTTATCAACTTGCACTGATTTAACTTATTTGCTGTGAGAATAATATATATAAAATATAGTACTATAGTAAATGAAACAATGAATTCACACTACTGTTGGTCTTTTGAGTAATATTTATCGCTAATTTGGCTTCTGAACCACTGAGGTCTGAGTATCACTGATGTAGACAGTCCTCTTTAATTCTTTAGTGTAACTTTGGGAAAAGAATGAGAGTTAATGCTGAAGAACCAAAATGGATTTTTCAGCCTCATCTGAATTATTTCACTTTGATAGTTTTTGGTATAATTTAAATCAATGTAGTATTTTTTTTTTTAAAATAATATTTATTTTTCCTGTGTTCTTTTTCAGATCCCCTTGCTAAAAAGCACGAGGTATGACTTATGTTTATTAGTTTAATAAAAACTAACACAACACCAAAGACCAGCTTAAATAATGAGGTTTTGTGTGCAGAAGATAAGTATTTAAACAAAGAGGCCTAATCACTTTCTGTAATGACAGGAATTAATTTTTCAAATCGGATGCCTAAAGTATGTCCATAAAACTCGTGTGAGCAAATGCAAAGATAAAAGTCCATGAATGAGAACTTATATATGCCTTTTCCAGTTTTGTGCCATCAGTTACAGGCTTGCAAATTTTGTTGGTGCAGTTCAGACAGATTTGAAAGCCTGGCCCTAAAAGTTCTCTAGGCAGGGTACAAGAATTTAAATAACTATTGGAAGCAGAGTAGATAAGAAAATATTAATGGCAAATATTGTGCAATGGAACATTCCTAATACTATGACCCTTTTAGGTAGAAAAAGAAATATTTAACGTCAAAGTGATTTATAATTCAAAAATCTAGATAGGCATTGCACAAAAGTATTAAATCAATGGGAATATTTTTTTCTCACCTGATACCACTTCTGTGAAATGTTCTTATTTTTCAGAGTTTTATGGTTGGCAGGAAAATATGCACTAGGTATAATTTAGTACTCAGTTTTCTCATGATGTGTCTCTATATATTAAAGAAGATATCTATATTTTGTGCATTTTTGTGACTTTAAACAGACTTCTTTAAAACTCAACTATATTTAATTGTTTAGCTGGATATTGACTTTTATTTAAATGGAGATATATCATGACATTAATTCTTGACAGGAACTGAGCTCTTCCCAGACTTTATTGCATGATGGAGGATTCTTCAATAGACTGGAAGATGATGTTCATAAAATACTTATTAGAGAAAAAAGGAGAGACCAACTCACAGATTACAATGGAGTGGATAACTGTACATCTCATGAACATAGTCAGGCATGTACAATGGCAGCTATTTTCAAGTGCACGTGTTTGCTTGGTGGATAACCGAAATAAAATGTGAAGCTTCTGCAATAATTTTTCTTCTTACCAAAAAATATCTGACTGCTTATGCTCTCACAACTTCAGTTATATGCTGAAAACACAATTTATGGATAACTTTTTTTGACTGGTTCATGTAAAAATGGGTCAGTGTATCGCTTTAGAAAAAACAAAATGCAAACAACTGAAATGGGACTGCCAAATCTTCTCCTCCTGAGAAGGTCAAGAGGAAGGAATGACAAAGACCCACTCCTCTTTGACCTCTTTCCAGTAGCATAAATATCTTTGGAGAAGGGAGAATTACAAAATTGGCTCCTGAGGTGGTAGTTCTAACACCTTGGTCCCTGCAGTCTGGTTGCAGTTCTCATGGATCAGTCATCAGGTCCTTTGACTACCTGTAGATATTTCTAGGGCTATTATTATTGTAGTAGTAGTCTGGCATTAGCAAATTTTTTTTTTTTTTCCTTCAGAAAATACTACTTCTGCTCTGTGCCCCTTGCTGCAATGGTGACTGAATGTCCTTGCAGAAAGCCATAATGGGGATATTTCCTATGACTTCCGTGTTGTTGAGTGGGATATTTCTTCCCTACAGTGAGAAAATAAAGTCAGAAGGGAGAGCAAATGCTGATTTTTAAGAATATAACATTAATGTTTGAGAACAAGTTTCATCTTGATCTGACTGTTAAAAGCTGAAGTAATTCAGTTACGACTGTACTTTTAAGATTTAATTATGTGTTCTGGTTTGTCCTAGTTTTTTTTTCCCGACTTGGTATCCTTTTCTTCCCTACTCAGTTGAGAGAGAGCTGAGCTGAGGTTACAATCTTGTTGTGACTTTACTATTCACAACCTTCACAAACCTTGCTATACTCCTTCAGGAAAAAAAATCTGATATTCTCTTTAGTTCTAATCTTCTTAAAAAAACAAATCTTTTTTTGGAGAAAAAATGACTGTTAGCATTGCATATGCTCCAGCTAAACACAGTGTGCAGGATTCAGTCATTTCGAGCGTGAACTTGAAACAGCGTTAGCATTTAATCTGGTTTGTGTGTACTTTTGCTCCCAGCTCTTTGTAGCACGTTGAATCTTAAAAAAAAAACAAAAAAAAAACCCAGAACACTTTTTTGCCCAAAACTACTTCCATTCCCCCTCCTCCTCTCATACATCTAAAGCATCAAAAAGTTGCCTAGCTCCTAAAATCTTCTAGCATGGTTTAGTAAACTAGGACTTCCTCAGTTGTAAAAACGAAGGGCAAAGTTGTCTCATATGCTGGGTACAAGCAATTTTTTCTAACAGCTTCTATTCAGGTGGGGTTAAAGTGTGTACACTAATATTCGAAAACACTTGAATAGTTTGTCACACTTAGATCTGGTTCTCTAGCAATAAGAACAAAATCCAATAGTCAAGGCTTAGAGAGCTTCTCCCATTTTGCTTGCACTTCCACAGAATGTGCTTCTTCAAGTCTAATGTTTTTTGAAGTTGAAAAAGATTTTAAAAAAATCCTGCTTGTGTATCCATCCATAAAAGCTTCTAAAATATTTTTAAAGCTATATTTTTAAAATGAACATTTTACAGAAGCTCTGTCACATGAGTCTGCCAGATACCCAGTCTTTAAATGTTTTATGGCTTGGTCCTTCAAAACATACTTGAAGCATGCAAGTATTTGTTAAAACTTAAACACTTTGTTACTGATTTACACATACCATATTTTAATGGTTGAGCAGATATGGAAAACCAACACTTTTTTGCACAAGAGCTACTTTGAAGCAACCAGACTAATAGTGGGTTGTTGTTTTTTTTTCTTTGTTTGGACACAGTCAAGGGCAGCTGAATTCTGCCTTTTGCAGGACTGAAATTCTAATGCAAACTTTTATAGTTAGTCCTAAAATTGTGTGGTTGCTTATTTTTTGTAGGAGGTTATTTTGAAAGATGGAAAAACAGAACGATTAAAGTTGGAACTTGAAAAGAAAGATACAGAAATTCAGCAACTGAAAAGCATCATTACTCAGTGGGAGGTATGTAGTTGATGATGTTTCCAAGTATTGAACAAAATCTAACTTTTTTTTACCCATTTGATTAAGCCAAAACATGGTTAGTCTGAAAGGGAACTTTGTGTTGGCCACCAAAATATTACCTTTCCAGAGCATCTTTCTCCAAAGTTGTTCCTGCAGTACCAGATGGATTGACCTTTCTTGGTAAGTAAGACAGGTATCTATAAATAAACTGACTACTGTAAGAAGGTCACCCATCAAGGAGTAAATATTTATCAGTTTTGGCATACCCAAGTACCATTTGTTTCCCAGATGTTGCCGTTTTGTTAGCTGTCAAGACTGTAGACCAATCTGCAATGCCTAAAAAAGGAAACCAATGCATACTTCTCCAGATACAAGAGAAACCATTTAGAGCTGTAGCCCTGTAGCATTGAAATGGAGCTTTGCATCTGCTGTGCCCCTTCTCCCAACCTATGAGGAAGATTTCAAAACAATATTCAGTACAAAGGTTGACCCCTTACTAAATCCTCTGGTGTTGCTGGATGCTAAATTAGATAGGAAAATTCCCAGAATTGCTGCTCTGGAACACCATATTAATACCTGTCGTGACTCTAGCTGACACGGGTTGAAAATGAATACAAAGCAGCAAGGATGGAACTTTTATGAGAAATTACCATTATGTCAAAAGGCGAGGGTAAATGCACTGAAGCACCAGGACCAACTTCTTATTGGTCACATTAAATCAGCTTTTGTTTATCCTTGCTTGGGAGTGGTGAACAGGAATACAAGGAGGAATAGTTTATGTAAACAAAAACTGATCAATATGTCAACTGCATAACTTAGCCTTGGGTATTGAACAGTTGTACTCTGTATAAACAGCATTAAATTGTTGACAATAGTGATTTTCTAATCGGAACTTAGCTGAAATGTTGAATATGATTTCAATCTGCTGCAAAACAGGAAACAAGTTTTTTGGTTAACAGCTGCTGTCATGTGTCAAGGTTGGGCTCACAGATGAAATTAATTGAAATGGAAAACCATTTCTATTTGATATTGCTCCTAGAGTACAGTTGGCAGAATAATGCAATGCACAAGAACTCTTGTTAAGTGCTTCATTTCATGTGATATAACCTGTTAAGAGTTTCTGCTTGATAGTCTTTTATGCTTATTGGGCACTGAAGGGTATAGAAAGCTTTAGCTAGCTGTGAGTCTGGAAGAATGCATTACTATGACCATTTAAATTCACTTTTATTGGCATTGGGCTCAATAAATATTGCTCTAAAGCATGGCTATAGAAGGGATGGTGTGGCATTCTAGTCTACTTTCTTGGAGAGGTTGAAGGTACTCTACTGTAGAATTACCTACCCACCCCTTTTCAATATTGGCATTTGCTGTTCCTCATTCTGCTCCCATGCAATTGAATCAGCATCCTGTTAGAAGGAACACTGTGCTAACTCTGTTTATAAACCAGCTGACCCTGTTGTATGAAGCATTATGGCGTTAACATGAGGGATGAGATTGGTGTGTAAGTGGAGCATTGTGGCTTGCCACCAGGTTCAAGATATCCTATAAAAATAATTTTTTCTTCAAGGCCAGAGAGAGCAATATAGGGACACTGAAATGGGGAGAAAAGAGAGTGAGGAAAATATAAAACACAGGTGTAGAATTAAGAAAAGACACAGAAACCAAACTGCCAGAATTGGCACCAGTGATCAGTCATGAGAAGTGCTACCTTAGAAGAGGCAATTCAGGCATCAGATGGACAGGAGAGATCAGTAAGGTCAGAAAAACTGAAAGATGAAGAGTCCAAAAGAGAATTTCCTTGCCTGTAAGGTCTTTGGGGGCAGTGATCATGTTTTCCCTGTGCATCCTTGTATAGCACCTAGGGCAACAAGGACTCAATCCTAAATGTGCTCTTTGGCTACCACCATAGTCTAAGTGTCACTTCTTTTGGCATTAGAATTCTTTCATGTGGCCTTCTTTTTTTTTTCAGGGAACCCACAAAACCTCTGTCAGGCATGGAGCTAAAAATCTTCCAGAAAGTTCTGTTTCTCTGTTTAGCAGTTCGTTCTTCTTTCTCCATTCACACCATGTGTAGTTGATTTTGAATCTTCTGTAGAGCCAGTGCCTGCTTGAGCTCCTTTGACTTTGGCCTCTAATTGATTTAAACTACCACTCTTGTATTCTCTCATCCTTGACTCCTATGCATTTAAACAGATGAGTCTGGAACCCTGGTGCTTCTTAAATTAACCGTAAAATCACGGCTTTCAAACTTGATGTTTAAAAATAACAAATACCAATTTAAAGAAGGTCCCTTTTGCCATATAGTAAAAGGTGATTTTATTTAAATCTCTTAATATTAGGTGAAGTATAAAGAAGTAAAAGCAAGAAATGCACAGCTGTTGAAAATGTTGCAGGAAGGTGAAAGTAAGTAAAGCTTATTCTCTAAGATGTGAATTTTAAAGCGTACAAAGTTATTTTAAAAATTACTTAAATGACTTTGAAAAACAGTTTTTAAAGATAAATTGATAAGAGTAATGAGTGGCAACTGTAAATTGTAAGAGTGGAATTATTTAATCTGACAATTTCCTTTGCGAGTCACTCAGACCGAAAATGAATTCGAGTGACTAGTGTTCAATTTCATTAGTTACTATTTCAGTAAAATTGTCTTTATAAGCAACCTCCTAATAGGAATAGAAGAATCATGTGATTGTGTTACATGTTTTAATACTGCTGGGTCATGCATGTTCAAGTTGGTTCCATGACATCAGGTGCAGTATGTAAACTATACTTTAGTGCATCACACATTGTAAAACAATATGAGAGAGGAGGGTAACTCAGAAGAAATTTTGTAATTTTACCAGTATTGGGGATGCTACACTATAACAGGCTCACTAGTGACACTATAGTTAAAGTTGCCCATGTGTTTCCATTCCAACCTCCAGTTCAGTCACTCATAATTTACTGAAAATTTCTGGTGTCTTGGTCAGAGTGAAATATTTTTGGGGAAAAAATAATTGGTTCAGCCAGTTTTGGAGGAGTGTGGAAACAAGGTTGTCCAGTGTCTGGTTTACGACCAGAATGCCCTGTCAAAAAGGGACTCTGGGAGGCTCTGGTCAGCACTGCTGACCAGGCTGTTAAAAGTCCAGTCGGTGGTGCAGCAGGGCTAAGGCAGGCTCCCTGCCTGTTCTGGTTCCACAAGGCTCCCAGAAGCAGCAACATGTCCTCCCTCCGGCTCCTACATGTAGAGGCGGCCAGAGGGCTTGGCACACTGCCCCCGCCCCAAACGTTGGCTCTGCAGCTCTCATTGGCCAGGAACCACGGATAATGGGAGCTGCGGCGGCAGTGCCCGCAGATGGGGCTGTGCACAGAGCATGGCTGCGCCTCTGCATAGGAGCCGGAGGGAGGGACATGCTGCTGCTTCTGGGAGCTGCTTAAGGTAAGCGCCACCCAGAGCTTGCACCCGTGACACCCTTCTGTGCCCCAGCCCATATCCCCCTCCTGCCCTCCAAACCCCTTGGTCCCAGCCCAGAGCGCTCTCCTACACCCCAAACCCCTCATCCCCAGCCCCACCCCAGAGTCTGCACTCAGCCAGAACTCTCAGATCCCCGAGCCCCATCCCACACTCTGAACCCCTCGTTTCTGGCCCCACCCAATAACCCACACCCCAGCCCCCTACCTCAGCCTGGAGCCCCCTCCCGCACCCTAAACTCCTCTTTTCTGGCCGCATCCCCAGCCGGATCCCTCATCCCAACCCCCTGAGCCAGCCCAGTGAAAATGAGAGAGTGAGTTATGGGGGAGATAGCGAGTGACAGTGGAAGGGGAATAAAGTGAACGGGGATGGGGCCTCAGAGGAGGGGCGGGGCAAGGGTGTTCCATTTTGTGCGAGTGTAAAATTGGCAACCCTATGTGGAAACAATGTCCTATTATAAAATAATAATCTTACCACCTCTTTTACTAGATTTCTTGCTGAAATAGCTGAGGGAAAAAGATTAATTTGATGGAACACTTACTGAGGAAAAATTAATTTGTTTTTTGGTAAAAACTAGCTTGAATGTGGTACAATTGAGCCTTGAAAATCCCAATTTTCACATGTACAGTAGGGGTTTATAATGATAGCACTATTCTGAATTATCCACAACCTTCAAAGAAAGTAACCAGTATGTAGGTTCAGCACACCTTAATTTTGCTATGTATTTAAAACTTTAACCAAGGTTTTCACATTGATTTAAGGCATGGCTTTGGAAAGCTTACCATCTCAAGCTCCATCCATACCCAGAGAACCATGCAGGTGGACCTGTGTCCATAGTAAGTCTCTGTGAAGTCTGTGGGATCCCATACAGGTGCAGGCAGTGAAAGTTTCCTAAAAGGCCTAAAAAGCTTCCTATATTCACAGGCTGCTGCTACTGGAAATGGTAATATCCTGTAGGCTCCAGGCAACTTCTATGGTTGGTCCTGCCTTCAATGATGACTGAGGAAATACCCTAAGGGTAGCAAAAAAATGGATCAAGCAAAACCCCATCTACCGTTATATATAAAGACTTCTAAAGGTAGAGACAGCCTAATGTTCTTGTTTTGTTTTTTAAGTGAAAGACAAAGCAGAAATACTTCTACAGGTTGATGAATCTCAGAGTATCAAGAATGAGTTGACCTTACAGGTAAGTTTTTTTTTTTTTTATAAAAATTAAACCTTGTGAATATTTTTAAAAATAGTATATGAAGGCAAACAGCAAAGCCAAACTGAAAATGGGTATAAGCACAGAAATAAGCGCAGAATTCCTCTCTATCCAGATTCTTTGTGTTAATGGACAGAGTATATAAGATCCAGCTACCCTTTGTTAAATGGCATTTGTGCATTCAGAGATTTCTACTGCAGAAGAGTCAGCAGATTTCCAAAACGAAGCATTAACATTTATTATATGAACATAGTATAGGGAGTACGCACCATATTTCTGTATTTGTTGTGGCTTTGCAGTGGTTTTTAATTAAAATGTTAAACTTGATCCAGTATTCCATTTGTGCAATGTCCTAGAATGACACGAAATAGTATAATTCAGTTTCCATTAATTGTGAATGCTGAGATAATCACTACTTAAGCGTGAGGTAATTGAATCAATTGTGTTACATTAAATTACATCAGTTACAGTACACTGACATAAAGTAAAATCTGAAAGAAAACTGTCACTTTTCATATCACATTATTCAGGCAAACACAAAGAGGCACTTGGGAACTAATAGAGACTTAGGGAATACTACTTGTACTTTGTGTGGTACATCAAATTTTGATCATTTTGAGAATAATCACTTTCTTGAATAAATTAAATCTCTTCCAATCAACACTTTTTAAAAATTTTATTTATATAAAAAAAATATTTAGGCTGTTGAACTGCAGCAGAAATGTTCAGGGTGTGTGTGTGTTTGGAGATTAAGATCATTCTGTAACATTTTTAAAAAATTGTTGTAGGTGACTACACTTCATGCTGCATTAGAACAAGAAAGATCTAAAGTGAAATTATTACAAGCAGAACTAACAAAATATCAGGTATTTTTTTATATTGTCTTTAGAAATTCACCAATGTCTAGTATAATTCTAATGGTCTATAGAAACATTGATGCAAGAGAATCTTTACTTTTGAATAGTTCCTTTGAAGGTAATGTATCTGTAAAAAGTTGCTAAAGTTGGTACTACCTAGGCGATCTTAAAAATTGACTTTTTTTTAGAAAAACAGTAACAAAACTGAAGCATAGTTACACATTTACTTGGGTGACTGAATGGATTTAGTCTTCCATTTTGTGCCTCAAAACCTACTTGAATTATACAGGTAAACAAGATTACACATCTTTGTTGCTTCTATATACTCTTAACATTCTGAATATAAGACTACATCTAAATTAGTAACTTGATCTTGTATATTTTTCTTATCTGGGACAGGTAACCTGAAGCCAAGTGCAAGTCTTAGTAGATTGAATAATGGCTTTTTCTCCACCCATGGCAAACCTTTCAAATGAGATAAATGAAATAGATTTTAATTTTGCTTTTAATATATAGAAGAGTGCATTTAATGATCTGTGCTTTTTAATGTGGCATTTTCTACTTGGCTCAGCAATAGAGCAATTTTTGTTAATGAAATATAAGACTTGAAAAAATGTTTGAAATTGTTTTCATGTAAGCTGAATTTTCACACTTGCATGTTTTTATACTTCTTCAATTATGAGCACCTTCAAAATAGTGAAATTATTTGATTTCACAGCAATAAGATGCTGTGCTTATTTCTGTATGGTAGTATTTCCTTTGGAAAAAGACTTAAAACAATGCTGAAAGAAAATATTGCTTCAGTTATAGGTAAGGTTAAGATTTTGTCAGTTATTTTTAGTAAAAGTCATGGACAGGTTGCAGTCAATAAACAAAAATTAACAGAAGCCCACTACCTGTCCATGACTTTTACTAAAAATAACCAGGGGAGCTGGAGGGCTGATCACCATGGGGGACTGAAGCCGAAGGAGTCCCAGAGTTTTATTAAAATCACGGAATCCATGACTTAATCCTATCCTTAGTTATAGGGAAAGCTCATCACTTGTAAGTTAAAATAGAAAGTTTTCAAGTAGCTGCATAGACTTGGGTGTAAACAGTAAGCTCTCTTGTTTCGAGCTGCTGTTGTTGTTTGTTTATGCTGGAGTCCTGCATGTTCATCCCATGACAATACCTCATTATTGCATTAGAATCTAATTATTCTTTCTCATTGCTTTAACATCTTCCCTCTCTGATATTCCATGATGCTCTATCCTCAATTTCACCTGCTTTTCCCTGTGCATTTCACAGGAATGATCTTATACACTCAGTGTAAATTATTTTTACAGTAATTCCCAAATGTGTACAAGCATACCTTGACCTCTCACTCTCTGTTCACTCTCACACATCCAGCATGCCACACCACTAATACTTAAAAACCAACTAAGCAAAACAAAAACAAACCCTCCTGTTACCATCAAACTCCATCATATTCCCTGTCACTCAGACTTACAACTTTACTGCTGCATTTAACTTTTCTCTAATATCCATGCTGTTGCTAATTTCTCTCATTTCTTCCTCCAGATCTCCAAAATCCATCTTTTATTCCTACAAAAATCCTCATCTTTGTCTTTATTATTGTAGTGTCCTCTTCTCTTCCCTCCCTCTCTATTCAAATTCTGCTTTTTAAAATGTTCCTTTTCCTCCATTCCTATTATCTCCTTCCTCATTTAATCCCCTTTGCTGCCTTTCTTTTTGTGCGAAGTTCAAGCTTGCCGTCTGTTTAAGGGCACTGCACAATTACACCATCACAATTTCTACTTTTATTCCTTCCTATAATTCTCTTAGGTTGTCTATCAAAGGACTCCTTCTCCCACTTTTGACTTTGCACTGTCTTCCATGACCTCCCTCACCTGTTTGAGCTCCCTCTCATATTTGTGCACCAAAAGACTCATAGATTTTATGGCCCAAAGAGAGCATCATGATCATCTAGTCTGACCTCTTGTATATTGTAGTCCATAGAACGTCACCCAGCCTCTCCCGTAATAGGCCCATAACCTCTGGCTGAGTTATTGAAGTCCTCCGTTCTTGATTTAAAGACTTTGTTACAGAGCCTCCACCATTTACTTTAGTTCACCCCAGCAGTGACCTGAGCCCCACACTGCACACCACTTCTTAATTTGAGTATTGCCTTAAAACACACTTTGTCTGTGAATCCTTTCAATAGTTCTAACAAAAGTGTTTTTTAAAATTCTTTGCTTAATCATGTGTTGTCAATCATTCTCTTCATTTGTGAGTTCCCTGAGGCAAGAACTATCTTCATCTATTTTGTACAGCACTTTTGGTGCTCAGATAATAATGCTTGAGTTGTGTATGTAAAATGCTATACAATTCAAGATTTAAACAATCAAAAAATCATTGGCTTAACTGACGTGCATGTCTTTATACCCATATGTATCTCTTACTAAATATTCAAATATGTCAAATGTATTTTTTTAGTTTACCATTTCACTTTTCCTCTACAGGGTGGGAGAAAAGGGAAAAGAAACTCAGAATCTGACCAATGCAGGTGATCATACTTGCCATCAAGTTGAAAGCAAAAAATCAAATCTTGTTCTTCAGGGTTTTGCAGAAATGTATATATTTGTTGTACACTGCAAAGCTATGCAGTTTTTTTGGAAAGAGGCTAACCATTACTAATTTGACTGACATTCTAAATAGTTAATTTGTTGCACTTTCTGTTAGTTTAAAGAAAAAAGTAGAGAACTGTTCTAGCAGAGCTCAAACATTGTTGCTGTTAATGCCATAATTAGTTTATCAGTCAATAAAATTTACTCTTTCATTTGTATGTCTAAACTCTTGCTTTTTAGAATAGGTTGCATTATTACATCTATTTAAAGGTCAACCTTTCTAATTCCTCTAAAATTAGTAAACTTAGTTTGATTTCTTTTGAAATTAAGTGTGTTTTAGAAGGGTGCAGTATAGGATTAGTGACCCAAATTTGGAGGAGTTTGAGCCATGATTTTCAGAAATATAAGCCCCAGAAAATAAAAAGGCATTTAAAAAAGATTTCTAGGTGGGGTTTTTGTCCAAAGCTAGTGATCAAATGGTTGATGAGCTAGGGTAAAAATAATCTGTCAAGTTTTATCCAAGATAGTGCTGGGCACTCACTAAATCTTTGGGTGATCCAGAATGGTATTTAAGAAAATGTACAATTTAACACTCTGCGTGCCCCAATACAAAAAGATGACTAGAGAGTTTCCATTCCTGCCATTTTATGTTTTAAAGCTCTATTCTTGTAAGTTCTCTAAACTTTGAACAGTTAATCCAATTGCTTTGAAATTTGATGTGCCCCATAAGAGTGCGAGGAGTAGCATTAGTGATCCCAATTTGGGATCATCTGACTGAGGGCTTCTCAAGTTACAGCCCCGCTTGGTTTTCTTTTGCTGCATTGTACTGTAAAACTGAGTCAGAGGTACTAAAGACTGAGGGGTTTGTTCAGACTACAGGGGTATGAATAGCAGTGTGCACCAAAGTGCTGTGCTGTAACTTTCCCATGTGGACACTGTGGTAACGAACTGAAAGGTTCCTAGTTCACATTAATGTAGTCCTCAATTTTTTGTTTTTGTGTCCCTTATTAATGTTAGATGGAATCCTGTGGGGGAGAGTGAATGGTTTTAAAAGGTGAATAGCTTGTACATTTCACTAACTCTCGGGTTGGCAGAGTAAAGGCATGTGTGTCAATGGAGCGTATTTGGGGCCTTGCTGAAAGAAGGCAACGTTAAGGTTGCATAGGTAACCTTAACTGTGTATTTCCTGGGTTTCAGAAGTTTGAGTTTGATCAGTTCAGCATCCTGCAAGAGGAACAACATACCACCAAGAAACCTTAACTCCGCATTTATGTAGGTTTTTTTTTTTACCATTTAATTATCAATATTGTTTAGCTCTTGTTAGGATATGAGTGCCCTGGGGAAAGTGTCTCCATAATACCATTAATCTGTCTGTAAATATGTTGGTGAGAGACTCTTATTGAAACCAAGAACATGGCTGCTGGAAATTTATTTGCAATAAAAAAGCATACTGCATATTTGATTTTTACAGTACCTAAACCAAGCCTTTAGTAAGGCCAGCATGTTGGCGTATAACCAGGGCTTTGCGTACCCTGCATCACAATGGGACCAAATCTACAGTAATATTAACTTATTCTAGTGCCATGAAATACCCTTCATTCCCATTCTCCACAATCCCCCAAACAAACATGCACAACTACAGCTTGTAGCTGTACATGCTTATTGGTTTAAACTCTGTAAATAGACTGTGTCATTACATGAGAGATTTTCAAAGATATAAATGACAGGTCCCTAACTCCCATTGCCTTTTCAATAGAAGCTAGGGACCTAAAGCACTGGACTGGGACACTGGTCTGGGTTTAGCTCCCAATTCCAATCTTGGGCGAGTCACTTAATCTCTGTAGCTCAGAAAGATACTTCCCTACTTCACAAGGGTGTTGCAAGGACAAGTTCATTGTTTAAGAATCATTCAGCTATTGCACTGGTGGGGTCCTATAGACATGTATTTTTCTTTGCAAGCTTGACTTTAATTTGAAACTCAAAGCCTTTTTGAAATCAGTGGTTGCACAGGACTGGTGTGTGAGGAAAAAGCCAACTGGTCCTGGAGTAATTAATAACAAGTGAAGTAATTGGTTAACATAAAAGTTGAGCGTCCTATCAAGAATGTTCATTAACTAACACAACAGTTGCAGAATTTGCAGTTCCTATGGTAATTTAGATCAGTAAGGGAGGACTGACCTGGATGGATCTATTTTGCTTCTTATGTGTAGAAATATAAGTCACGCCTTCCACTCTTTAAAGGGTTTTGTTGAAAATTAACACATTTAATAACACATTTGTAATAGATATACAAATACATTATAGCATTAACTCTGAAGTACTACATACTCAACAGTAAATTGGTCTATATAGCACTATACAAGCTGGTAAGAAGACAAGGACCATGTCCTAAAGGCCTTACGATCTAAAATAGATACCCAAAGGAGAAATTATAACAGACCGGGAATGAAGTAAGAAGGGGCTGCTCTTGAGAGATTACTCGGGACATTTTAATCATGTATTTTTTTTAATTTGTTTTAATTTATTTTTTAGATGTGATCAGGTGTGAGCAGGAAGGGGTAACAAAATTAAGATTATATAGAGAAAACTAATGTAAAACTAATTTGAGGAGGAATTTGAAGGACAAAAGAAGGTCATTTGGCTCAAGGAAGAAAGAAGCTGGCCTAAATATAAAGTTGGTATGAAGAAAGGACCAGGTTTGTGAGTGAGAAGAGAAAGAAGAGCACATTAAGGATAGACCAGAGCATGGAACATACCATAGGTAGTGAAAGGAGACAAACCGAGATACCTGTTAGGATAAAGTTGCATATAGCCTTAAGATGCTTTAGATACCAAGGAGAAATAAATAAGCAAAAACAAACTAAGATGCTAATGAGAAGGAGAGATCATGCAGAGCACTGGAAAGGTGCCCACTTTATGCAGAAAGACCTAGAAATGTCAAGTAAAATGTTGGACAAAATTTAAGTGAGATTTTCATTCATTATCTGAAACTCTTGGTAGGAGTCCATTAATGGTTTCTGTGACAGGTTCGGTCACAAAGACCCCGTTGGGACTGTTACCTGATGTGCTGAGACTACCTCTGAGCCTGTTTTCTCTACCAGTTTGGGACTCCAGAACCCTGCCTTGTTGAGCCAGACATGCCAGTCTGCTCCAACGCAGACCTAGGGTCTGAACCATTCGCCCCAAAGCTGCAGACTTAACTGAAAATGGCTTAGCAAGAGTTCCTGTCTCCAGCACCCAGACACCCAACGGGATCCAAACCCCAAATAAATCTGTTTTACTCTGTATAAGCTTTATACAGAGTAAACTCATAAACTGTTTACACTCTAACACTGATAGAGAGATATGCACAGCTATTTGCTCCCCCGGGTATTAATTACTTACTCTGGGTTAATAAGCAAAAAGTGATTTTATTAAGTATAAAAAGTAGGATTTAAGTGGTTCCAAGTAATAACAGACAGAACAAAGTAAGTTATCAAGCAAAATGAAACAAAACATGCAAGTCTAAGCCTAATATATTAAGAAACTGATTGCAGATAAAATCTCACCCCCAGAGATGTTCCAATAAGCTTCTTTCACAGACTGGACTCTTTCCGAGTCTGGGTCCAGCAATCACTCACACCCCCGTAGTTACTGTCCTTTGTTCCAGTTTATTTCAGGTATCCTTGGGGGTGGAGAGGCTCTCTTTAGCCAGCTGAAGACAAAATGGAGGGGTCTCCCAGGAGTTTAAATAGACTTCCTCTTGTGGGTGGAGGCCCCTTTGTTCTTCTGTGAAAAATCACAGCAACAAGATGGAGTTTGTAGCCACCTGGGCAAGTCACATGTCCATGAATGATTCAGCTCTTTGCAGGCAGACACAATTGTTTACATGTTAGTTTGAAAGTTCCCAGGAAAGCTCAGATGAAATACAAACATGATACACACATACAGACTGCATAATCATAACCAGCAAATTGCAACCTTTCCACAGACACCCCACTTGACCTCCTCTGTACAAGACCTGGTGCACCCACAGGACCCTGGTTGCAACAATGATCTATACGGTCACAGTTCATGTCAATAATGTCACAGTTTCCTTAAAAGAAAAGTCAGATCCTACTTAATCAAAATGCAGTATTCTTACTTCACGACCAACTAATCTTTATCATGGGCTCAATGCTGCACTGTGTAAAGCATTCTAGCCCTGATGCAGCAAAGCACCATGCTTATGTGCCTTAGTGGGTTAGGGCCACAGTGCTCCACACTGTGCAGCATTGAGCCTCATATCAGCAATAATAATACATGATAGTTGCTATCCAGTTAGCATATTAGTTTGTTTTCAGCTTAACTTCTTTAACAGATTCTACAGTATCCTTCAAGATAGGGCTGTATTCTTTGTCAACAGCAAGAGTCTTAAACACTGCTCTTGTCATTTAGCAACAGGTAAACTATATGTGATAAGTGGAATCCCTAAAAGGTGACCTACAAAGGGAAAATTGGTTTTGACCCTCTGTTGCTCCATTATGTATACAAGGCCATAAAGGGGTGGATGGGTGTGTGTGGCGGGGGGGGGGGGGGGGGAGAGGGTGTTGTTTTCTAGTGGTTTTTTAATCTTAAAAACACTAGGAATGTTTAGTGGTTTTTCTTGGTTTTGCTGGAGCACCCCTTGGAGGTCTTAGATGTGGACTGCAGTCAAATGTCTGAGTGGATCTTAAATTGCTGCAACTTTACATAATCTTTCAGCCCAATGTAATTACACTTGCTGAGATCTTGTCAAAATTGCATCAGGTGTGATTTTAAATGTAGTTAAACTGGTTCAAAACCCTATGTGGATACTTTCAGTTCAGTTTAAACCTGGCCAGTTAAACTAAACCGACACTTTGGTAAATTGAATTCAGAGTGTCTACACAGGAGTTTTGTATCTGTTCAACTAAACTGGCTTTCAAACTGATTTAAAGTTAAACTGGGGTAATTCTGAATATACCTATCATTTACTAGGCAGAGCTGGGAATTTAATATAGTTTAGAACTTCTGATTCAACTTTAAAATTAAATTTTAAGTTCAAAAGTCTTAATCAGAAAGAGACAGAATAGAAAGCGGAGCAGGTGGAGAAATGGGTAAAACACTTGCTACCTGAGACCTTCATCTGAAAAATCCTTTTAATTAACTAAAAATTACTTCTAACTTATTTTATGTTTTGTTTTTCTTTTGGGACTATTTATAAGTGATGTAATGCATTTTATATACAATTTTAACAATCCCATTTCTCCTAAGGGTTAGCTATTTTATAATCACAGACAGGACACTTTAGGGAGTGTATCACTGTTTCTTGGGTGGCTGGAATACTCAGCCATCAGCCTGGTAGTTACCAGTGCGACCAAAGAGCAGCACTATCCTAGCACAATGCAAATGATATACCTTGTTGGGTTAAATAAAACAATATATTAAAATCAGTTTATTAACAAAAACTATTTAAAATCTTTGCACAAACATTCAGTTATATCAGAAGCTTTTCATTTATATTATCATAATAGCTGAGTCTGTTCCCATCAAAGGTTTTGTTTCTCCTATGGAAGCAGAATTGCGCAAAGTTTGGCTGGCCAGGGAATTTGATGCCACACAGATGTAAATGCCCCAAACTAGTTCCAGAATTATGCCAGAATCTGCCCCTCTAACTGCAAAACTTCAGCTTTCCTATGTTCAAACTGTAGCAATAGGAAAATGACAAAAGGAAAAAGTTAACTCCCTGCACCAAAGAACTTTTTTATACCAAATGACATAGCACTTGTAGTCAGAAATTGATGCAGAAAAACTAGCTGAGAAAAGGGAAAGGACAAGGAGCAGGGCAAGAATAAAAAGAGTGAAGTGGAGAAGGGGAGCACGAGTTGAAAGAACATTGTCAAGATACTCTTTATTTTTTATTTTTTTTTTTAAATCTACTTACCCTTACTAATATCTATACTGCAGCTGGGAGGTGTAATTTTCAGTTTGGGTAGATGAACACATGCTAGCTCTGCTCAATCTGACATACTGAAAATAGCAGTGTGCCACAACAGCTCACACTTGCCACCCAAATACAATCCTGTTTTGAGATCCTGGTTATGTGCTCAGAAGGCTAGACCAGGGATGGCTGCCGTGGCTCTGGAGCCATATGCGGCTCTTCAGAAGTTAATATGCAGCTCCTTGTATAGGCACTGACTCCGGGGCTGGAACTACAGGCGCCAACTTTCCAATGTGCCAGGGGGTGCCCACTGCTCAACCCGTGGCACAGGCCCTACCCTCAACTCCACCCCTTCCTGGCCCCTCCCCTGAGACTGCAGCGCCCTTGCTCTCTCCCTCCCCCCCAGCCTCCTGCATGCTATGAAACAGCTGATCGGGAGGTGCAGGGAGGGAGAGGTGCTAATCAGTGGGGCTGTTGGTGGGTGGAAGGCACGGGGAGCGGGGTGGGGGAAGCTGATGGGGGGCTGCTGACTGCCGCTCTTTGGGAGTGTACACTGGTACATTCAGGCAGCTCCTCAAGCTCAGGTTGGCCACCCCTGGGCTAGACAGTGCTGCCATGACTACATTGCTATTTTTAGCATGTCAGCTTGAGCAAAGCTAGTGTGTGTACCCAGCTTGGCAATTATACCTCCCATCTACAGTGCGTACATAGCCTGTAGAGGGAAGAAACTAGAACAGTTGTAAAAATCCTATGTTTAGGGTTAGTTTCACTTTCTGGTTCTCACATGCTGCTGGGTAAAAGGTGTAAGATGGGTTCACACCAGTGTAGTTTAATGTCTCTGAACAAATACATTGTTTTTTTTTGTCCTCTGAGAAAATGGCAAGAAAAAAAAAGATGTTGAAACTCGACAAACTGACTCTTCCTTATTGTCTGGACTGAAAGGAGTAGGTGGATCAAGAAACCTTTAATTTCTTGATGAACTTCCCCCCCCCCCCAAACACTTGACTAATTCTATGATGAGGACCCTCTCTAGTGCATTAGTAAGTCATTGTCCACCACCAGGCTGCAGTAAATTACTTGTTCCCATTTTCTTAAATGTTCTAATTGAATCAAGGCATTAGTAATCTGCCTCATTCAAACTGAAAATTTATAAAAGGGCTGTTCCAAACAATGTGGCACTGTGTAATTCTTAATATTTGTAAGAATACATTATTTTGTGACATCCCCAATTGTACAACTGCTTTGTAGGTGGGATTCAAATATTTGTAAAACTTAGACTAGCTCCTAGGTTACCCCAACTCGTATATCTCTAACCTGTGGACTGCAAATGAAATTCTGATCCCCAATCTGATGCTTGATTTCTGTATAAAATGCTATTTCAAGACAATTTCCACTGCTCTGCACTGCTGGAACTGTTACAGTTCAGGGCAAATGCACCTATATTTCCACTCCCATGCTCCAGCAAGGGCACCCATTCTCAGGCTGTCAGCTCCCTAGCTGTTGCCTCTCTTGGGTGGAGATCCACATCTCTCTGCCATCTGACCATATTTCCAGGCTGCACAGTTCACAGTTCTGCCTAAACTGGTAACAGAGGAGGTGCTATAGATACGTTACCACACTTTCTCTTATTCTTTAACAGTGATATTGCTGTGGATGCTTCTGTTATAATTCTGCAGCCTTTCAAAATGGTGAATGTTTATGACAGCAAGATCCTGAGTAAAGATTCCAGGATTGGCTGCTGCATGGACAAAGCAGTTGAGCTCTAAGGAAATCCCCATGAGGAAGGGGGTGAAACAGTCTTCACTGCCAGCGTTGGAGTGGTTGGGGAGCTGAGACTACATTAATCCTATGGCTTTAGCCCACTTTAAATGTGTATAGAAGTATAGAGTATAGAATTTTCTATATAGCAGCAGATCCTCTTCTTGCCCTGTTCCTTTGCATTAGAGCATAGGGAGCCACTGCCACTCCATACCACACAAGGAAAAAGCACCCTGTAATTTTGCTCTGATATGCAGGCCTGCACCAATTTTGCTGGCAAGACACCACAGGAGTGGAGGCAGGGAACAGGATTTGCCTTTCACTCTGATCTTTTTCTGGGTATGTGACTAATTTGTGGGAGTGTAGTGATGTAAATTCCATAATCTGGCCATACTATTATTTGTCTAGTTTTACAATCCAGCAAATTCTTCTCCTGATTGACTCTGCCTGGGTCATTAACAAGGTTTGAACCCAGAATTTTCATCTATATGTTGCACATCTCTTCCAGTAGGGGTAACTGGTAGCAAAACCAGGGTATTATATTGTATACAGGCCAACTGGAAGAGGGAATGTGGCACTTTACCAATGGGTTATACAGCTGTTTGACAGTAAGTCAGCAGTGGAATGGTGGGTAACAATTTCCCAGGATTCTATTCCTGGGGCTGGGAGCAGAGTGGAGGCTAGGGCTTACAGCCAGCACAACCAAGCCGATAACTTGGCAGGTGTTCTGGAAAGCACTGTGGCAAAGTAGATATGATAGGGCCAGACTGGAGATCTACGCCCTATACTAAGCAGATCCGCCTGGATCTTTTGCAACCTCTCAGGTAGCACTAGAACAATGGTTTTCAACCTGTGGTCCATGGACCCTGGGGGTCCACGGATTATATCTACGGGGTCTGCGAAAGGTGGTTATGATAGAACAGTGGTTTTCAACTGGGGGTCCACAGACTAGGTCTAAGGTTTCCCAAGGGGTACATTCCTCTATTTGAAGTTTTTTAGGGGTCTGCAAATGAAAAACGGTTGAAAACCACTGATCTATGGCAGTGACAATGGGGTGAGAAGAGCACTACTTACACCCCCTAGCCTCTGAGACCCTGGGTGTCTCACACACACCTGACAATTTACCAATGATGGGGGGAGTGGGTCGACTGATGTGACGAAGCTGCCACATGCGTCAGGTGAGATGCATGACACCATGCCCTAGCAGCTCTGCATAAAGGGGACGCAGATTTTCACTCATTGCGGCGGGTGGGCTGTACCTGGTGCTTTACCTTACTTGTGCCAGAGTCGGGCATAACGGCCGCCCACACGGCCTGGAGCGCAGCTATCTCCAGGCCCCTTGCTGTGCACCATGCATGTTGCAGAGTGAAACCAGGGGGCCTGGCTGCTTCAGAAGCCCCAGCAATGAGCAAGTCCCGGGCACCGTGCACGCTGGGAGTGCTGGAGACAGCGGAGCACCAAGAGAGGGAGGCGGGACTCTCCTAGGTTCCAACCCAGACAGTCAGGAACCACTGGCGACTCACCCTCCAACGCTCC